ACCCGCGATGTGCGGGGCGGCCGGGGTCGGATCCGTCTGCGCGGGGTTCGGAAGCCGGTTCCGGCCGAGCGGCTGCTGCTGCTGCTGGGACAGTTACCGGCCGGTGAGCCCAGTCGGGACGCCCCGCGGCCGGTGTGGCCGTAGGCCTGGGGCCGGTTGCCCGCGTGTGTCTCGGGGGTTTAGGGATAAAGGAAGTTCCCAAAAGAGTTTTTACACGTTCAAGTGCTTCAGGTTCCGGGGCTGGGCTGGGGTTGCCCCGTGTCCTTAGCAAGGTGTCAGCCCCTGAGCACCTGAGGGACGGTCACTCTGCTCCGAGGACTCCTGCCGGTGCTGAAGAAGTCCGGCGATTCTCTTCTGCCTTTGCTTCCCGCGTCACCTGACCCTCCGTGCCCGCGTGTGCTGCATCCCGACCCCAGCTCCGAGGACCAGCCTCCGACGCCCGGAAAGTCACGAGCCGGCTCTACGTGGCAGCGCCCGCCAAGGGTGCTGGCGATCCCCTGCTGTCAGGGCAGGGGACGGTCTTGTAGCATGTGCTGCTGACAACCCAGTGTTCCCAGGACGGGGGTCTGCGTGACAGCAGGGACAGGGGTGCAGTGGCTGGCGGTGACTGGTTCTTGCTCTCCCCGCCCCCAGCTCCTTCCCTGCTCCCTCCCAGCTCCCTCCTTCCCCAACTCCCTTCCTTCCCAGCACCTTCCTTCTCCCCCAGGCAGAACTCTTCAGTGAGGATGCCTGGCCCATGGCACACCCCCTATCAATGAAAAGATTCAAAACTTCAGCAGGGAAGACAGGATGAAACCAGCAGATCCTCTCCTTCCAAAGCTCTCAGCAGCTGGTTCATGGCAGAAACAGTGGCAGGAAATACTTCCAGAGAATTCTTGGCGAGCTTCGATCCCAGGATGCTTCAGCCTCCTGAAGAACTTTAGGCATCCTCTGGAGTCCAGCTCGGGGAAACGCATCCTGTATGTAAACCTGTTAAAAATCCTTCTCCTTTCCTCCAGGAAGGAGATGATTTTCTTCTAGTTGCTGACAGCGTCATGATCAAGGATGGTTGAGAATGTGCGTGCTGAGTTCACAGCACACGCGTGTTCGGAATAAACTGAGAAAATGCCACTTCCTACCCAGAAATATTAACTTAGAAAGGCAGCTCACCCACAAAACAAAACAAAACAAAACAAACAAAAAAGAAAAAAAGAGGCAGCCCCAGACTGCCAAAACTGAAAGGGAAGGAACTGGTCTGTTCAGGTGGCGGTAACAAAACCACCGCAGGCTGAGGGGCAGCCGCTGCTCACAACCCGGGAGGCCGGGAAGCACCAGCGCGGCTGCCCTGTGGCTTGTGTGGCTCATGGCCACTGCCCGCTGCCCTGTCCTCACCGCAAGACGGGGACCAGGGGATTTCTCTGCAGCGGTTTGATAAGGCGTCCATCTGGGCGTGAGGGCCGCTCCTGAAGGACTTCAGCCCCTCCCCAAGGCCCCAACTCCAAATACCATCACATCAACGTAGGAGTTTTCACATCACGGCAATATGTAAATGTTTACTCTCCGATTACGGACCTTGTGTCTAACAGACCCACATCCATGCTTTTTCCCGGGCGCTTTCCAGACTAATCCCCCGGAGGGAGACACATGTATGTGCCCACCGATGGCGAGAGTCTGGGAGGGAATGTGAACGAGGAAAGTAGCTTCTGAAGGAGCCCATGGCCCATCTCTAGAAGCAGCCGTGAGCCTGTTATATTTAAGCAGTAGCCGCCACGCAGGTCCGGCCTTGCCAGATCTTCCCAGTTTTTCAAGAAAAGCCCCAAATGAAGATTTTTTTTTAAAGATTTTATTTATTTATTTGACAGAGATCACAAGTAGGCAGAGAAGCAGGCAGAGAGAGAGGAGGAAGCAGGCTCCCTGCCGGGCAGAGAGCCTGATGTGGGGCTCGATCCCAGGGCCCTGGGATCATGACCTGAGCCGAAGGCAGAGGCTTAACCCACGGAGCCACCCAGGCGTCCCCCAAATGAAGATTTTCATGTGAAATCTGTCCATTGTAAATGTTGGTCCCAATTTTAACAATGGTGCAGGCAAAGTGAACTGCTGTGCTGGGGCCTTGCGGCCCGTGGAGGGGAGCACTGAAGCCTAAACTCCTGGGCAGGCACCAGCCAGTCTTGTGCACGTGGCCCACCCCCACGGAAGGTCCCCAGGAGGTCTCCAGCAGGGAAGCAGCTTCCGCACACGCAGCCCATCCTAAGATAACTATTCAAGAACATTAGGGCCCTTCTTCCAAGAGGGGACTCGTCAGACGCGGCTCATCTCTAGCTGCCCTGGGACGCTCGCTGCGCCACGTGCTCTTCCCAGGAGCCCGTGGCCGTGGGAGCGCGCACACGCACTTGGGCCCCATCCCGCTTTTAGACGCCGCCAAGCCTCAAGCGCGACGCACGTTAGCCCCCGTAGAATTAGGAACACCAGGTAATAGTCTGCTGGCAGGTAAATGAAGTGTCTGTTCAGCACCTGTGTGCGTGGGGGGTGCTGTGGACCTGCCCTCCTGGGGCGCACATTCTATCGAGGGAAACGAGACTCATCCGTGGCCCAGCCAGGACCGGAGCAAGACCATTAGTCATTCGGTGTGAGGGTGCGCCGCAGACTTGGAAGCTCAATAGGGATCCAAAGAAAGACGGGGAAGGAGGCCTAAGAGTCGGGAGTTCCTCAGGGCCAGGAACGGGCCAGGCTAGGAAGAGAGCTCGGTCCCTGCCAGGGACAAGCGGGGCACGTTGGATTTGGAGGCTAAGATGTCACCGCAGACTTCGCAGCAGAGAAGGGGCTTGTTTTCGTCAAGTTCAACGATGTTAATGCACTCAGGAAATGACACGAGCAGTTTTGGGGACGGTCCCACAGCATGGAGAACCCTGCCATGTCACCACCAGAGCACTCACCTGCCCAAGCCTGGCTGTCGGGGAGACGGGACAGGTCCGGGGGCCCCTCACCCAACGGCTCGGTGTCCCCTGGTTTCCACGGGCCCCAGATGGAGCGGGGGCTCTGCCGCCACGACCCAGGGCTTGGTGCTCTGCTCTGTACATGGAGAGACCACACACGAGGTGGGAGAGCCAGCGGGACCCACAGGAGGGACAGAAGAAAGGACAGATGGAAGAGAGACGCGAATGGAAATACCTAATTTAGAAAACACACCAAAAACGTGTGGAAATCCTGTCTCCTAGGGAAATGCGAGGTGCATGCCCATTGCTTCCTCAGGAACGTCTGCAGGATTTCTCCAACCACAAACCCTGCCTCCGTGAGGTGTGCTGTCGGTATTACCGGTAGAACCCAGCTCTGTGTGGGGGAGACTGGGCACAAAATCCCGTCTACCAATTTTCACCGCAGGAGGAAACAGCCCAGTTCTATAAGAGTCGGGGTGGAGAGGTGGGGTGGGGAAGGGGCCTCTTCATTGTGGCAGGGGGCCCGCCCCACGGGTGGGGAGATCGGCAGTCGGTGCCCACACTGCCCAGGACACGGAAGGGGATCCTTGGAATTCTCATTCTGTAACACCACCGAGCACTCTTAGGCCACAAATGCTGAATCGGTTTCCTGTTTTACCGTCATCCATATGGACGGACGTCCCCTACTTAAAACCAGAGAAACCTATTTCTAGACTCTAAATAATTTAAAAAACCCTTCTAATTATTACATCAAAAATTAAGGATGTACTGTATGTTGCCTAATTGAACTTAATAAAAATTTTAAAAAATAAAACAACAAACCCTTCTAATTAAATTCGAGCTTCCTTGAACAGAGACAAGATATGACAAAATTATAGAATTCTGTAAGGATTGTACATTCTCAGGTTGCATTTCAAGCTTTTTTTTTGCCATTGCTTAGAAAAAAAGCCATCCCATCAACAACCCCGTTGCATAAAGTTACAACACCCGTGTTCCAAGTTTCTGACCGGCGGCAGGTCCAACATCGGTCTGTTTCTGTCAGTCACGCACAAGTGGCGGGAAGATGTACGTTCATGTTAGTTTCCCCTTCACCGCACCCCCTGAAGGTCCCCACTTACTCTGAACCGTGTTCAGCTCTCGGAGGGGGATCTCACTCTGGAAAGGAGCTCCCACTTGCCCACGGTGCGACTGCTGGGGAAGCGGTCCACAGCTCTGCCCCGTTCGCGAGAACCACCTGCGGCCATCCCTCCCCTACAGGGGTCCACTTCGGGCTGTGGGTCCCCTCAGTGACTAGACCCCGTGAGCGCAAACCTGCCGGGGACCCAGGGGAATCAGTATTCCGGACAGGTCTTTATGGAGTCACAGACATCAGCTGTCCTTTCCTCGGGACCCTAACGTCTACCTGATGGGAAGGTAAACCGGGTGCTTGGCTCAGAAATGCTTGTGGGCTCTTCCTTAAGCAACATGACCCACGTGCAACCAGCCCAGGACCCACGCACTCCTACCTAACAGGGGCCTGCTCATCTGGCCCCCAATTGAACACCCCTAAAATCGATCTCTTTGTGGTCTTCCAAAAGGGTGGCCATGACGTGGCTTCTCTTGCAGAGCTCTTAATGCAGAAGCAGAGCGGAGTTGCTAGGATGTCACGGGCGCCCTGAGCCGGCCCTCCTCAGTGGAGTTCCTGCCGATGCGAGAACCACCCTACCCACCGTTTTCCCTCATCCGACAACCTGCGGTTTTGCAAAACCCAGACGGAAAGCAAGCTATGCAGACACCACCGGCCCGTCTTCCTCCCGCTGGAGCTGGCCTGCTACGTGAGTCTCAGCCAGGGCGCGCCGGCCACATCCTTCCATCCTGGAACGCCATCCTGCCTAAAGCTGCGCAGGCCAGGGACGGACGGGCCCGGAGCTGCTGCGAGACCAGGCCAGCGCAGCAGGGCCAGAACCCGCGTCGTCCCTTAAAAAAGATCACACACCAAAGCTTGTGTTCAGTGAGAGAGATGCAACTCAGTTTTATTGTGTCCTCTCTGAAACTTCCCTTTTACCCCACGGCCTCGTCTAGCAAAGAAGAGGAGGAGGAGGAGCTCTGCCTGACACCCCAGGACTTGAGCGCTCAGGGGCATGGGGCCAGAGGTTGTGGGGTATTTGTTTCTCCGGCGAACTGGCCCCGAGAGATCACTCTTCCAGGGCCGGAGCGGTGAGGGGCCGCCGGCCGGCCGTGCCGAGCACATTCTGGATCCATTAGTGTACCATTCCGTAAAGTGCTTCTGGAGTCAGAACCTGCCAGGCCGTCCAAAGTGTCCACACTTTCGCAACACGAAGGAGAGAAGAATCCCAACGGGCGGGTCATTGAGTCCTTGCCAGCTGGGGCTGGTGGCTGGCACCTGCCGCTTTAACCGCCGAGGCGCTGGCCCTCGCCCCAGGCGAAGCCTCCCGGCCGCTCCTCGGGCAATGGGTTGTAATCTGGGTCGTCCTCTGGCGTATCGAAAACGGCCTTCCTGAAAGACAGTGACAGAGACGCTCGGCGCCGAGTCACCTTGGGAAGGACCCCAGGGCTTCACCTCAAGGACACACGCTACACCCACCCCCCGGAACCAGTCACCGCGCTGGAAAGTGTTCACAGTCATGTTCATGTTAACTCTTTACCTCCAGGACGTTACTTTCCTCTTTTTATTTTTCTTGCAACAAAAAGCAATACATGTTCGTTGTAGAGAAAACAGAAAATACATAGAAATATTCTAAATCTCCAAAGAGAATCATGGTGGGTGTTGGCATCATTCTTCCAGAACTTTCCTCTGTGTGATTCTATGGGAGTTAGATCACACTATTTGTTTTATAACCTCATTTTCACTAAATTTACCATGAATGTCTCCCCACAACCAGGATATCACCCCGTACCCACCGGGAGACGGATGGATCGAGAAAAGGGTCCGTCTACGCAACAGGATAGTATCCAGCCTTGGAAAGGAAGGAGGCTCTGACACCTACCACACCGTGGATGAACCCTGAGGACACGTGGCCAGACCTGGACCCATACTGCGTGATCCCATGTGTGTGAAGAACCGAGAGCGGCGCCGTCCCGGCCGAGGCTGGGGGCGGGGAACAGAGCGAGGTCCTGGGGACAGAGTTCCACTTCTGCAGGATCGAGAGTGTAAGGATGGACGGTGGGCACAGAAACATGCCAGGACACTAAGGCTGCGACACTGCATGTCTGAGATGTGTAACATGACACAGTCCATGTTATGTAGATCTTATCACAACTGAAGTTTAAACTCACAGATCATTCCAAGACAAATTAATGCAGATCACAGGAAAGGACGGTCAGTGCCCAGAAGACTTTTACAATCTCGCTAGGACAGTCACTCAAGTTGTCCTTAAAGAACCATTAAGACAGTATCTGCTCTTGGCATTTTTTTTTTTTTTAAGATTTGATTTATTTATTTGACACAGAGAGATCACAAGTAGGCAGAGAGGCAGGCAGAGAGAGAGGGGGAGGCAGGATCCTTGCTGAGCAGAAAGCCTGACGCGGGGCTCGATCCCAGGACCCTGAGATTATGACCTGAGCTGAAGGCAGAGGCTTAACCCACTGAGCCACCCAGGCGCCCTGATGTTTTGTTTCTGATTCTTGTTTCTAACAACACTGGACACTGCCCGCAGCCGGTCCACACAGAATGTATCTGAAAGCTTCCATGTCACAGTGGGGTCAGAGAACGCATCCGTACCTCAGCATGAGCTCCCTGAAGTCTTACAAACTAACAACGCAAGCAAACACGCAAAAGCAGAAACACACAGGGTGTAAAAGGCAGCTCAGAAAGGAAATCCAACGGCCAATAAACACGAACGTGTCCGCTTTTGTGATGATGAAAAGAAAGCATGTGCAACAGCAAGGCCGCCTCTACTTCCCTAACACGCACGGGAAAGAACGTGGGTGCACGAGTGAGAAAGTGGGGATGTGGTGGCCCTGAGCAGGCTGGGGGCTGGGGGGACATCCCGGGGCTGCAGGGTGGCACACGTGCACGGGCCCGGTGCAGGGTGGCGAAGCCGGAGGAGGCTCGAAGAGGGCAGCCCGCCACGGTGCGTGCAGGCAGCGCAGGAGGAGAATGCGTCTAAGCGGGGGGCCGGCACGACCGGGACGAGAAGCTGGTTCCACATGCGGGGCACTAAGTAGGTAGAGAGAGTAATGACCACAGGGTCAGGTCCCTCGGTGTCAGTGAGAACAAGGAGGTGCTATGTCCATCCGCTGGACACCACCCCAGACCGGGCAACAGATCCCTGCCACGTGCAACCCCAGAGGCGGATGGCAGACAGCTGCCCTGGCTGGAAGCGGCCGCACAGCAAGGAGCACCTCTGCGCATCCTGGAGGACTCCGCTCCTGACGCCGGGAGGGGCAGGCACGGCTCATCTCACAGCCACACAACCAGTCCGGCCATTGCTCCCTGGGGGACAGCGCAGGACAGACAGGGAGCCGCAGGTTGGGACCTTCTGGGGTCCTGTCCCGAGAGGAGTCTGGGGCCCACGGGTTGGTGCACGTACAGAAACCATCAGCTGACACCCCTGTGGTGCGTGTTCTGCTCTAGAGAAATCGAAGACCCCAGTCAGCGTCACACGCACTACAGTTACTCAGAGCGTGAAGGATACCGGCACGGACAGACGTACAAAAGGCAAGAGTAGTAAAATGTTAACCACAGAACCTGTGTCGTGGGTAAATGGCATCGCCATATAACTTTTCCCACTCTTCTGTGAGTTTGGACATTTTTATGATAAAATATTAGAAAAAAAAATAGAGAAAAAAAACCCTACCTAGAATGTATCATATGAAGTTGTCCTAGAGCTGAGCCTGTCAGTAACCCCATGTTTTTAAAAAACACACAGGTCTGCAGTGCATGGCAGGCCACCCTTGCTCCGGTCCCAGTCGGGCTGTGAGCTCGTCCAGCACCCATGCTGCGGCTTCCGCCCCCTAGGTCCCCAGAAGAAAGGAACCAGGGCTCTTGCAGAAACAGCCGATTCTAAGACTGAGTCAGGGAGAGCAGAGGATGAACCTGGGAGATCTTGTCTGGCCAGAAAATAATAAATCACTTGACAATAAAGAGAAAAAAAGTGATGGGCCATGTTGACAGTAATCAGAAGCCGGTGTGAAGGGGTTCCCATTGTCCAGATCTGGGGCCACACGAACACCAAAGCAACAACGATAACGAGGGCTGCAACTCACTCATGATCTAGGATCAGGAGAGGGTGGCTGGCTGAGTCCGGGCGCCTTCCCCAAAACAATCACCAGGGGAACAAAGGCAGCTTCAGGACCGACCTTCATCGAGTCATCGGAGTGGCTGCCGCCACTGTGACCGATCAGTGCACGGAAATCCTCCGCAGTGTGGGGAGGACGACACGGGTCACTTCTCTGACACTCCTGCCAAAGACGCGTGACCTGAAGCTAGACGTGAGGGACCTGAGACAAGCCCCGGAGGTGGGACGTCCTACAGAACAGGCCGGGAAGCCACAGAAGCGTCAGTGGGGTGACATCAAGGAAAGACTCTGGAGCTCTTCCAACCCGGCAGGGACCCAAGAGGAGTGACACGTCAGCACGACACTGGGCCTGAGCCAGGCTCTCCTGGAACAATGGCCAGGAGTGGCTTGGGCCTGTGGACTCAGGTTTCTCCTGATTGTGACTACGGAGGGGAATGTCCTTCTTCATAGAAAATCCATATTCATTGGGGTGGGGGGGAGGGGGGAAGGCATCACAGGGGATCTGACGGACAGCTTACTTTGACACACCTAAGGAAGGAAAAGTCCTTTGCAGGATTTGTAGTTTTTTCTTTGAGTCTGAAACGGTTTCCAAAATAAAATAAAATCGTAAAAAACAGGCCCATAGAAACGAGACAGCATCTTCCAGCTATCACCCCGGGAAAAAATAAACCATCCTCCACTGTCAGACAAGGCCACAGGGTACAGGAGCTCCACGCGGCCGGGAGAAGCATCAGCCTGAGCACCCAGTCCCCACAGTGACTTGTCGACGAACAGCACGGCGATCCCGATTCTGGGAGCACGGCCTGCGTGGTCACGGACGCGCGCCACCCGGGGACGCCAGCGCCGGCACTGTCGGTAAGGGAGGGGCCCACGGTGCTAGTGTCCTGCCAAGCGGGACCATGTAGCTGCTACACCTCCACAGGACATTCGTCATGGAAAAAGGGTTACGACATGCTACACCGAAAAGGAGATTACGATAGAGCATTTTTAAAAATTTAGCCCCCATGCAGGAAGAGAGGGGAGAGCATGTGTGAAAAGGGCAATGGTGACCGCCAGCGTCTGGCTAAGTGGGGGGGCTCTGGAGGACCAGGCTCTCTGCTTTGCTTAACTATGATGTGACAGCCCACATTTTATGCAAAAACTCACATTTTACTCTAAATGCAGCAGGTCTCAAGGATACGACCTTCTAGAGAAAGAGGTCCCACAGACCAAAGCTCCCCTCTCAGGAAAGGGAGGGGCGAGACAGAGATGGACTTTCATGTCACACGGCCGGTCAGCAGGCCGGCCGACAGACCGTGGTTTCCCAGGCTGCCTCACGGCTTAGCTCTCCTTCCCCTGTTCCCTGGAAGGCCAGGAGTCCCACCACCAGAAACTTTCTTGGGGTCGGTGTGGCCCGTTCTGCCACCGGCCCCTGGGAGCTCCGACAGTGGCTCTCCGGGAACACAGCAGGCTCTGCCCCGGGACATCACCCTTGGGACGCCCCAGGCTCGTGGAGCTCACTTCTCCATGAGTCTGGCACCGTCTGCTCCGACCCAACCCAAATCCACCACCGCAGCCCGGGGCCCCGATCTGCAAATGCTGACCCGAGCGCCAGAGTGCCGGGAGCCCCGCGAGAACACAGACCACGGAGCCTGCCCCGCATCACCTGCCAAGAACACGCAACCCGGCATCGGATACTCACAAAATAGACGGTGTTTTCAGAATTCTGATTCCACCAGGCTGATTGGGAAATACGTCTTCCAAGAAAAAATATATGTGTCCGACCGCAATGCCTAGAGTCGCCCAGAAACAAAGAACGAGGAGAGGATGAAAATCTGATGGCAGGTGCACCTGCCAACACAAAGTCCGCACGTTTAGAAAGAAATGTCAATATGACGACTCAAAATTAAAGAATGCTGTAGTCTTTGACCCTACAACCACTACATGACCCTGAGACAGCCGTGTGGAGTGCCGGATGTGGAAACCAGGAGCAAAGTACGCTTACACGGAAAGTGGTACAGGAAGTTGCAAGACTCTTACCCAAGAGGTCCACAATGATCGAGTTCCCCAGCAGCAAGGAAAAGCCCATGAGCACCCAGGGCAGAAAGGGGGCCTGGAAGTTGAGAAGGCCGAAGAAGTTCATGCGGACGTACGGGTTCCTCCGGCTCCACACGTAGACGAGCATGATCGTGAAGGCCTGGCCCAGGAAAACCAAGCTCACGAACAGACCGAACAGCTAGCAGGCGGCGTTAAGGAAGAGCTCCGCATCGCAGGTGTACAGTGAGGGAAGGCAACGAGGGGCTGTGATCTAGCAGAGGCCTGAGGTGGGGAAGTCTCACAGTCGTTCGTCTTTAGAGGGAAAAAAACCTTGAAAATGATTACCCAGAGCAACCAGGCAAAAATCAGCAGAGGCCAAAACACCTGGACAGTAGCTGCTTCCCATGAAGATTGTTTCCAGGAAGTTGACTATTTGGAAAATATATTAATTCCTTGGTCAATCATTACATGAAATTTCACTCACCATTAGCACCTTTAAGAGGTGAGTAAAACCAGCTAGATCCAAAGCATTTTGTCAGACTGGACTCCGTTCAAATCTAAATTATAATAACTTATCAGTTTTGATAGTGACCAAATAAATGTCTTACCAACTTAGTTCAAAAGTACACACATTAGGGGGTGCCTGGGTGGCTCAATCCGTTAAGCGTCAGACTCGGTTCTGGCTCTGGTCATGATCTCGGGGTTGTGGGATCAAGCCCGGTGCTGGGGTGCACGCTGGGCGTGGAGCCTGCTTGGGATTCTCTCTCCCTCCCTCCACCCACAACAAGCACTCTTAAAAAAAAGAAAAGTACACGCACGGACAATCCCGTACCTGAAGCAGTTAACAGTCACCCACCCGGGCTAAACGCCCCTCTGGCTGGCCCACCCCGCGGCTCAGACGTGCTCACAGAGAGGACGCCGTGCAATCCGCCGTGCCCGCAGCTACGGTCTGGAGGGCTGCTCCGTGGGCGTGCTGAGCGTGTCCAGCGGACCGTGGAGGGCAGGCGGAGGCTTCAGCAAGACAGAAGGCGTTCCTGAGCGTTTTCCCGTGTTTGCTCTACTTGTTGAAGGATACAGTCATTAAGAATCCACCAAAAAGGAACATAAATACAAAGTCTGCCGTCCGACCTCGGAATGAGCCTTCTTCTAGCATTCGACAGTAGCGGTATCTTAAGTTTCAAGTTAAGAAAACGGTAAGCACACAAGTGGGAAAAAGGTCAAGTTTAACATACGGCTGCAGTGCGCTTGGCCGCCGCGTCAGCCATACGCAGCCAAACCTTCTCTTCTGCGAGCGCGTCCACGAGGGGTAGCGTGGGGACGTCCCTGTTGCCTGGCATTTCAGGCGCCGGGAAGACCATCTCCGCCTGTGGCACACACCGCTCCCGGCTGGGGAGCGAAGCCTGAGGCCACACACGCGTGCTTGCGGGGACTTACAGAACCTTTTCAAAGCTCGGTCGTCTGCCCCGAGCTCAGCCCCGCCACGATCTGAGCCACTTTGCTGTTTCACAAGCTAACTCGGAAGATGTGCCGGCGAGAGGCCTTGCCTGGATCTGTTTCGGCCGGCCAGGCAGACTTGGCCTTTCTACACCTCAGTTAATAAAGACGTATCATGAGGAAAAGATCTCATTATTAGAAACTTACCAGGATGGCGTATCACACAGGAATCCGTCAGGCAGGGGTCCCATCACCCTGACAAGGCCCGGTCTCCTGCACGCTGGGCTGTAACTCCCTCTCAATCCAGGCGGTCGGGTACAGGAGGGATCCCTGTTCAGGGGCCCAATTAGCACCTGTCCAGAGCACCTCCTTCCCCTCTTTCAACAAGCAGCACATGGCCGGCCGGGCAGACACACCGCACTGTCCTTCTAGCCGGTAGAACCCGCAACCAAGATCCAGGGAGATCTCACGTCCTCCAGTCCCCAAGAAGCCGCTGCGGGGCTCCCAGACCTGTACTGACACTCTGGGACTTACCACTGTCCCTGGGTCCCTGCTGATACTATGCTCCAAACAGGCCTCAACGAATCCACTTCTCTCCCTTGACGGGATTTATATGGGATTTTCGGGCAGAAGTGTAATCTCTCTTTGGGTGAACGCTTCCCATTAGAACAAACGGGAACCAACGAACACCCTCAAAATAGTACTTTCCGACCGGCCAGTCTGTACCACGAAGGCAGCACCCGGAAGTCACCGTTATGAGAGGAACAAGCAGCCTCAGTAGCTTTAACTTACACTGTATTCCCTACACAGACCGCTGGGTTTTACGCTGACCCCACTTAATAAAGGATACAGAAAAATCATGTTAAATAAAAAATTGAATCCCACTGGACCGAAAAATAAGAAATTGGTGATTAACCTCCATATCTGTTAAAAGAAAAAAAATCGAGGTAAGACAGATGAAGTAAAACGTGCCGGGCAACATTTCCACATTAAGACAGAAGACATTTCCTGGGGTTGCGATGGTTGAAAGGCCACAAGTAAGTGACACTGTGATCTGAACCAGAAAGTGGGGCAACACGACCTGACACTGGATTTCTGTGCTGTTTCCAGCTGAAGTCTGAAAGACATCACTCAGCCCCTGAGATCTGCTGAGAATGCGTAAAACTGTCGTCGTCTTTAAAACAAAACGAAACAAAACCTATACCACATGGTCAGGAAAATTAAAGAGAAAGTTGGATGGAGAGACGACGTTCATTTGCAAACCAGAAGCGATGCTTTCGTGTGTACAGTGTTATAATCTAGTGAGCAGTCTTGGGAACCAGAGAGAAACTCCAGAAACCTCACATAAACTGCCAGGAAATGCTTCTGTGTTAGTCCGTAAGAAAAAGCCAGAGAAGAGAGTGATTCTAGAACAAACACTCAGGTTCTAGTCTGAGTAGAACAGCCAAGTCCCTGTAAGATCTAAGGCTCTAATAATTAGTCTAATTGGCAGATACACTGACACTCATTTTCTTGTTGGAAACCGTGATATGCTTTCCCCCACCCAACCCATCCACACCCACAATAAAAACAACTACTCACAACGGGAGAGAGCTTCACATTGTAAAATGTTTCAGCATGATCTACAATCTCGTGGGAGCTCAGTAACCCTGTGAGACATGGGGTTGGTGGTCCCAACCCCATGTCACACAGGAGCAAACGGGCATAACTGGAGAGCATGGATATGGCCTGCCCAGGGGAACCTGTACAGGGAGACTGAATCCAAGCCTGGGACACCCGGCTCCAAACGCGGGTATCTGGTGTCATCAAGAGTATAACCTGGCAAAATCGAGCCCAGCATGTTAACAGGAAGCAAAGCTCGGATGCAGCTTCAGCGCTCAGCAGAGGCCGGGGAGTGGCAAAGGACAGAGGCAGTGACAAGAGTCCCCGGGACTGCCTAGTGCAGCATTCGATCCTTCGGCATTGGCAACGGAGGGGACGTAGTTCAGTTCTACATTCGAACTGTCTCCAGGATTTGAAAGTCCCCAACTTAAGGAGAGAAGCAGCTCAGTAAGTACAAGAAGGAAGGGAGAGGCTCTGAAGGAAGTATTCCCAGAAACCCTGGGGACACAGAGCAGGGTCAGTCTGGGAAGCCACACGAGAGCTGGGGTTCGGCGGGTGTAGAGTGAAGGACACACATTCGAGACAGAGGGAACAGCAAGTGTAGAGGAAAATTACTGACTCTTGGTCCTTCCCCCATTCCAACCGCAGGCTATCTGATCATCCCGGAGGAGGAAAACACATCTTTCTTTGAGCATTCTAACTACCGGGAAGGACTAGCTCCTACTCGGATCCAGTAAACTCTCATGCAGTTTCAGGAGCCCGTCTTTGGGGCTTTTGTTAATATCGGCCGATCCCTGGAAGACAGAGCAGTCTGAAAGCACTGAGAGAGCTGGGTTTCTGAACCCGACTCTGGTGATAGCACCGAGCTGGTGAGCGGACGGCGTGGGCATCCTTTGAGGCTCTCCCTGGGCTGGTCAGTCTCCTCTCAAACTACGGTATTAACCCCGAACCACTAATTTCCACATACGGGAACCGGATACATCAAATCAAAACCACGCAGGGAATCTTACAAACAAAATACAGTCTTAATTCCTGCCGTGGGTGACTCTCTGCGACATTTCTTTGGTGATTCTGAGGCCCAATCAGGACGCAGGATCCCATCTTTACCGCCCCCCCCCCCCCACAATAAGACGTTCCCGCTAAACCTGCTGATACCACATGGAAGGATTGGCCAGCAGAAAGCAGGAGGAAAAGCTTAACGACCGGAACACAGAGTGCGCAGGTGACGGCCCCGTACCTGAAAGTGTTTGAAGATCAACTCGGGGTTGAAGTACAGCTGAAACGGTGTGATCAGCTCCAGCTGCTGGAAAGGAAGAAAGGCTCCTTCAGGCAAAGCCGTCCTCAGCAGAAGGCGGGGCCCGGCAGGTTCCAGCCCAGCCACTCCGCCCGGACCCCCGCGGGCAAGCCGGGAAAGGACTGTGCGTAGGTGCTGCCATTTCCGCACCCCGTCCGCCGGACACGAGACTCAGCTCTGCGCCTTGCTGCGGGGGTCGAGGCGGACCCTGGCCCCGGGGCAGCAGGAGCGGCCGCCACGCACGTGCCCCCGCCCGGCCCCCACTCGAAGCCCCGCAGAACCGAGCCCGCGGACCCCGCGCCGTCAGGCCTGCGCTCCTCTCCGGGGCTCTTCCCTCCCGGCAGCCCGAGCCCTCCGCCTCCCGCGCCAGGTCCTCGCCGAGCGGACTGCCCGCTGGTCAGCGCGGCCCCTGCCCGCCCCGCCTTCCAGACCCGCTTCCCGGGTGGGCTGCTCCCACGGCCGCGGCCGCGCTGGTCCGGCCCTCCGCTGTCGGAAGCCGCCCGCAGCCCCGGCCCCGCACCCCTGCCGGGCGGCACCACCTCCTGGCTTCCCGGGACCCCGGCGGGCGCCCCGCACGCCTCCACCCGCCTCGGAGACCTCCCCTCGGGGCTCCCCCGCGGCCCGAACCGCAGCCTCCGAGGCCCCGGCCGGCGCGGCGCGGGCGAGAGGGCGGCGCGTGGCTCACCACGGCGGCGGTGGTGAGCACGCAGGCGGTGGTGTAGGCGCGGCTGACCGGCGGGATCTGCAGGTACTCCAGCCGCAGGCTCTGGTACGCCATCTTCCCCACCGCCGCCGCCCCCCCACTTCCCTTTCCGCCGCGCCGCCCCGGTAGCGGGCGGGGCCAGAGCGCGCTGCCGCCCAATCAGCGCCGCGCACCGGCCGGCCGCCAACCGCCGCAGCCCGGGGGACGGCGCGCCGGCCAATCGCGAGCGGCGCCTCCGCGGGGCCCTGCCCCGCCGCCCCGCCCACCAGCCCGGCGACGTCGGGGAGAGGCGTGGGAGTCCCGGGTCCGTGCGCCAATCCGCGCCGGCCACAGCTGGCCTTCCCGCCCGGCCCCTTCGCGTCTGAGCGAGGCGGCCCCCGCCGCCGGCCAATCAGGAGCACGACGGCGTCCCGCCCGGGCCCCCGTTCGCCGAGGCCGGAATCGGGCGGCATCCGGGCAGCCGGCGGGGCCGCATCTCCGCAGCGGCCGGCGGTGGCTTAAAGGCGGCGGCGGGAAGGCGGTGCGTGGTCGGTTTCGTCGCCCTCGCCCCCGCTCGGGTAAGGGCCGCGGGGCCGCATCGCCTCCTCCAAGCAGCGGGGAGGGCAGGGCTGCGCTCGGCAGCATCTCGGGGCGCCCGCCGGCCGGGCCGCGCGCCGCCTTCCCCGAGGTCCCGGCATGCCGCGGGGCCGCGGGGGCCGACGCAGCGCGCGGCGCGCCGGAAGTGGTCCCCGCCCGGCGTAGCTGCGGCGAGCTTCCCGGCGGAGAGCGGGCTCGGCGTCCGGGGCTGGGGAGGCGCTGGTGGGGATACCCTGGGGTGGGGAAGGCCCTGGAGGGGGAGACGCTGGAGGTGGGGAGCTGGGGGGAGGTGCCCTGGGGAGGGGAAGTCGCTGGGGGGAGGGAGCTGGGGAGGGAAAGACGCTGGGGGGAGGTACCCTGGGGAGGGGGAGGTTTTGCGGGAGCTCAGAGCGGCTGGGTCGCCCGGGGCCCTCGGAGGATGCTGGGCCCCAGCATCTTTCCTTGAAGGAGCGAGAACATGGAGGGCCGGGGGGGTTGGGGGAAGGTAGCTCGGTCCGGCGGGCAGTGTCAGACTTGACTGGCGCGGTTCCAAGGAAGCATTTAGAGTTTTGGAGCAGGGAGCGACCATCAGGGGGCGGATAAGGGAGCACCCGAGTAAAGGCCGGGAGAGCGGGCTTTGGCTGGGGTGCCGGTGGGCGCCTCACGGAGGGAGAAGCCCGAGGAGCTCGTGTGCAGGAGGTGGTGCGCAGCCTCACCGGCGACCAGAGACCCACGTTAAAACACCTTTACTTGGTGTCGCCTGCCACTTTTCCTGTGGGGTCATGAGTGACAGCCCCGGGCTGGGTGTGGAGAGGAGTTAGTAAAGTGTAAAAGGTTTTGCCTGCCCTCCAGCTATCCTGCCCACAGCCCACGAGTGAGCCCCGCTGGGCGAATTGCTTGCCTCCGTGAGGGAGCACACCTCCAGGCAGCTTTGGCCGTCTGTCGGGGATGGAGGGCAAGATGGGACCTCTGAGGATCCAAGTGTGGATTGAGCAGAATCTTTCTATTTGTGGGGCTTGATTGGGGTTGGGTGGGGGTCCTCCACTCACTGTCCGGGGTTGGGAGAAACAGGTGAGGCAGGGGTTTCAGAATCTTACAGTCCGTGTTATGGACGCTTCCCATTGAAGAGTCGATCCCTTTGAATGGTGAAAACTCGGGTTTCCCAGAAAAGGGAAGTCATGCTGATGTAGGCAGCAGGTTAGGTGGGATGGGGAGAGTGTACGTTCAGCCCTCCGTGTCCATCCTGTGTGTGGGGTACATGAATGGTTTTGGGGTTTTTTCTTTTTCTTTTTTATAAATGATATCTCATGATTTGGTATTTTTTTAAGAGAGAGTGCCTGAGCGCACGCGGGGTTGGGAGGGAGGGGGCAGAGGAAGGGAGAGCATCTTCAGCAGGCTCCACACCCAGCGTGGAGCCCAGCATGGGGCTCGATCTCAGGACCCCGAGATCACGACCTGAGCCGAAGCAAAGAGTTGGGCACTCAACCGACAGAGCCACCCAGGAGCCCCGGTTCTGGTTTTCAAAAAGCAACTCTGTAGAACAACTTCCCTCCTACCAGACTGGCAAGAATTAGAAAGCGGAACGATATCCGGTGTTGACAAAGACATGAGAAGTTTTCGTGAACTGCACGGGGGAGTGTCAGTCAGCCTGCCCTGCTTCTCCCCAGATGTTCTGGAGAACTCCGCACAGTATTTAGTGAGGAGTCGTGTCTGAGTAAGCTCCGTGGCCCAGCAGTTACTTGCCGACGTGAATTACCCGCAGGTCCCCGAGGAGGTGTTGCGGGAGGGCTTTCGGTACAGCATGGTGTCTGGTAGCAGGGTGCTAACAGCAAACCAGGTGTCGGTCACGGGGATGGGCACGCCTTCAGCTCAGTCGTGATCCCAGGGTCCTGGGACCGAGCCCCGCTTCGGGCTCTCCCTTTCTCTGTCTGCTTGTGTGCACGTGTGGTCTTTCTTTCTCTCTCTCTGTCACATAAATAAAATCTTTAAAAAAAAAAAAAAAGCTACCTAAAACCTATCCAAGATGAATTAAAGGTGGATTGAAAAGGCTCCCATTGAAACACTAGAGTGGGTTCCTATGGGCGATGAAAGATGGGAGAGGAAGATAGGATGAATGAACTCTGCGCTGTATGTCCTTGGTCCTTGAGGAGGGAGACAGAGCGGCTGGTAACGGAGGCCCGTGGAAGCCGTGTTCAAGGAGTTTGAACTCGATCCTGAAGGAAGGCACAGGGGAGTGGGAGGAAGTGAAACAGGCGAGCACGTGGAGAGGGGCTGGTGGAATAGCATATAAGGCTGTAATCAGGGGCACGTGGGGAGAGGGGCCGGGTGGCTGGAGGAGTGGAGACGAGGGCCACTGCGTCTCGGGCATTGCCTAGGCCGTCCGTCTGAGTGTGAAAGTGGTCCAGGACGATAGCAGAGTTCAGGAGATGGAGCCCTGGGCCAGAACCGGTGTTAATGAGAAGTGAAGGAAAGAATCTCAGAGAGCAAGGCTTGTATCGTGTTGTGGACAGGGAGGGCGGCGGGCAGTGGCGGGCTTCTGGACGCGCTCGCTCCTTGGGTTGTGTTGCTGGCTTCCTGGCTCTCCCCGACGGGCTTTGTTGCTCTCATCAAATGATGTCATCCAAAAGGGTTTTTTTCCTTTTTGCGTTGGCAGATTGTTCATAGTCAGAAACAGGCCCGCGGAGGGAGCAAAGATGTCCGTGGACCCGATGGCCTACGAGGCCCAGTTCTTCGGCTTCACGCCGCAGACCTGCATGCTCAGAATCTACATCGCGTTTCAGGACTACCTGTTCGAGGTGATGCAGGCCGTCGAGCAGGTTATCCTGAAGAAGCTGGCCGACATGCCAGGCTGTGAGATCAGCCCCATCCAGATTCGCAAATGCACCGAGAAGTTTCTTGGCTTCATGAAAGGCCGTTTCGATAACCTTTTTGGCAGAATGGAGCAGCTGTGTCTGCAGCTGGTCCTGCGCATTCCCCCGCACGTCCTGCTTCCGGAAGATAAGCCTCAGGAGACGCATCCTTGTACCGAGGAAGAATTCCAGCTTCTCCAGGAAGAAATCGAACAGCTGCAAGAGAGGTATAAGACTGAAGTCGGCGCTAAGCAGGCCCTCCTCGAAGAATTAGAGGAACAAAAAATCGTTGAGGCCAAACTTAAACAGACATTGGCTTTCTTTGATGAGCTGGACAACTGTGGCAGAGATCAGGGGACTAGTGACTTTAGGGAGAGCTTGGCGTTCCTGGTCCAGAACTCCAGAAAACTCCAGACCATCAGGGACACAGTGGAGAGGGAAAGCAAAAGAATGAAAATATCTTAATTTCTCAGGAGGCACAGGAGCTCATCGGAAAGCAGAACAGCAGGGATTTCTGTCTTGATACTCTTGTGCGCTGTCCGCGCTACGGGACTTCCTTTGTTTGCTCTTCGTCCCGCCCTGCACCTCCCTCTGTCTTGGTCCGCTCTGCTGAGGTTGCTCTCACCGTCGGGGACTAATCTCTGGAGCATCTGTTTCCTGGAGACCTCTCGCCGGCGGGACAGAAGCCCTGGTCCAGTAGCAACTCAATGGGCGCCTTGACTGGAGAGGCAGGGCTCTCCCTGGCTGGTCGGAGACGCGTGTGAAGCTGTTTCTCGGTCACGGGTCCTTTGTGACCTTGGTCCTTTCAACTTACTCTCTGCATACGATCACATGAAAAAAAGGTAAGGTGGGGGGCTTTGTTACAGACCAGCCACTGCCCCACGACACATCACAGCCTGCCTGCCCTTGGCCGCGAGCAGGGCTTCCGCGGGGATGTCCGCTGAGGGAGAGAAGGAAGTTGAACGGCAGCCGTGATCTTCGGTAAAAAGCACAGAACTTCAGTTCGTTCCTGAGCTGGAGCCTCTCTGTGATGGTGGCACAATGTGGCATCTGGGAGCCCAGCGGGGGACGATCATGGACGGAGAAGAGGCAGATCTCACCGGTGTGGAAGGGGAAGCCTGGAACAGAGCCAAGGGCAAAGCCGATGTGAGCTGACCGCTGGGCATTTATTCATTTTGTTCATACTTAAGTGAGTTTTGGAATCTGCCCCTGTACCTAGTGTTTTTAACTTATTTATTCATACTCCTAAGCATCAAGTATTTAGTCCCCAAGTATTTAGGGAGGTTTTAGCTGTCTTGCACTTAAATTTGGTGGAGTCTCATGTTTTCTTCTGAAGTGACTCCGTGTGACACTGCATGAGATCAGTCCGTACGTCCCGCAGAGAAAGCGTGAATAGCAGTGCCCGCTCTTAGACTTTGCCCTCCGTGTCTTCCTAAAGAACGGGATTCAGACTTCTCCTTTATGCCGGAGAGTAACTCGGGACATTAATGTTTGTGATCAGATATTCATAGATTTAAGGTGCCTGTGTTTACCTGGAATATGTTTATTATGAAAGACTTTTTTTCCCAATCCTGTACATGAAATACATATATTTTAAAGGCTTTGGTTTTCGATTTTCTATTATTTTAAGTAATCTCAGGGCCCAAGGTGGGGTTTGAACTCACGACCCCAAGACCAAGAGTCGCATGTTCCACCGACTGAGCCAGCCAGGCTGCCCATGTTTGTGGCTTATTTAAAATCTCCTCCTGTA